AGAAAAGCAGTGGGAGAGAAAAAAAAAATAGAACTAATTTGAAGAATTAGGCAGAGTTGTGCCTTAAATAAGCAAAAACTAGACAAATTGAAAACAGTCTAAAATACAAATTTTGAATTTTCAATCACTCGAAAAATATTTTTGATTTTTTTAGGAACATTTGGCAGTTTAATATTTTAGACTAGTATTGGTCTGGATATAGCAAAAATTTTGAATTTCACATTTTAATTTTCTCAGGTTAAAAAGTGGCAAACATATACGGGCCAAAAATGGTTTGGATATTTTTGAAATTTAAGATTGCTCCATTACTTTGCCTAAATGTGGGGAAACAAATGGCCCACAACATATATAGATCGATCTTGGTCTAAAATAGTTATTAGACTAGTTTTAGTCTAAATAAGTGGACCAGAATTGGTCCCCTAGCCCAATCGCTTAAACATTGTCTCAATGTGTCATTGTTACCTAGAATCCCAACACCATAAACCCCTGAATTCTATGCAAGCTAACATTGATGTTAACACTCTTTAACAAATGTGTTGATGGTTTGTGAGTTATTCATAGTTAGGCCATCGTTAACCTGCATGAGATGCATAATTGACTCCATTCACTTGTTCGGACACTAAGCAGGTGAGTGGCATGTGCTGGGAGCTTGAAGAAACAAACACTACTAGAAAAATGACGTATACGGACTGAACATATATGGACCGAATAGTGTTAGTTCGAAAAAATAAATATTTGAACCAATATCGGTCTGAATATATTCAGGTAGCACAAAATATACTAACCAACATATTCGGACCGGTATCGGTCCGTATATTTCTGGCGGGAATCCATAGTATAAAAGCGCCAATAATATTTAGACTGAAAGCGGTCCGAATATTATTTCTGAAAAAAATAAATATTAAATAACAAAAAATATAAATAAAATATTATTTAAATAAATATATACGGACCGACTTTGGTCTGTATATATCCATTAGAAAATACGAAATTTCATTTTTCTATTCGAACCGCTTTCGGTCCGTATATTTATTATTTTTCGTAAAAAATAAATATTAAATAACAAAAATTAGGAATGAATTATTATTTTTAATGAAAATATACGGACCGAAA